AGATTTTTTTCATATTCAGATTCCATGTGACTTGGCCTGTTAGCACAGCCATGAGAGAATCTCACTTCAGGGCAAATGCGGATTGGTGCCACATTTGTCTGCAGCATGAACATAGCCTAGGCCTATTGGCTCATTTCCTGGTGGCTCCATCCCTCTTAAGTTACATATGTTTTTGTAAAGGACAGCCAGCCAAAGCGTATTTTGTACATTTGAAATTAAACTAAAACCTTTACTTACCAAGTTCTGTTTTAATCGCCATCCAGCTTGGTGATGAAGAATTCCCAGAATGTTTACATTTGTAGAAGCCTTCATCTGCCTGAGACACTTCAGAAATCTTCAGCTCGCCACTGCTGTCTGTTGGCTGCAGGTTTTCATTAAAATAGAAAGACACATTATAAGGTATATTGTGTCGCCTCTGTTGACAGCCCAGAGTAACAGGAGTCCCCTCAGTCACAGGATGGACAGGGCTCACCAGAACGAGATTTGTATCTGTAGAAAAGTCAGAGAATATTGCATTTCCTTACATGAAGTGTTTCCAATTGAAATTAAGGCTGGTGCTAAATAAACCTTTTCACTCTTTCTATAAAACTACAGGAAATTACTTGGTAGACTCAGGCAATTACAGAGGAATCTCATTACATAGAGACCAGAATAAGGAATTAAAAAATTCCTTGTGCAGCACGTCACACAACTCAGATGCTTAGTAAGCAATTTAAAATTCCTTATTCTGTTTTTTTAGTAGATGTGGGCCAAGCAAAGCCCAACCCAGTCATTGAATTAGCATGTGCATCTTGTTAGCATGGTTTAAGTTTGATGCTTTGTTCAGATTAAACGGGATTTGAGCAGTAAAGAATCATTTTTTGCTTAATCTTTTTTGCTTTTCCAGATTAAGATCAGATGCGCCTCAAGAGTATTTTAAATGCTATTGAAGCACGTCAATTATAGTGTGTAAAGATGCATCTGATCTTTGTAATTCTATTCTGTTCCATGGCAGAGGGGCTTTCCTAGCCTAAATTTAATGTGATAAGTTGGTAAAAAGTAGTTGTAATACGTTTTTAAGTCGGTGCAGCCATTTCATCATGATCATGTGATTATCCCACATAACGGCGGTTGGCTGTCACTGAAAATTCCCAACCTTAGCTGCCTCAGACTGGCCAGCCTCTTGTGGCATTTTCAACAAGTCTTGGTAGAAGTTGGAAGTAGATATCAGCATTTTTCAGGTATGTGGTAAAAACTACCAGTACCAGAATAATAGAAGCGGACATATTTGGCTGGCAGGTTTCAATATTTTAAGTTAATTTATGCACTAGGAGTGATTGTAGCACCTTTTCTTTTTACATGAAGCAAAAATATTCTCCTTTCCTTTAATGTATAACTTAAAGAAGGGTGACACCTCTGCGTGAGAAGCGCTGTGTCTGTATCTCCCTGCCAGCTCCCATATGAGCTTCTCTGACTGGTTGTTGCTGTGAATCAAGCAGCAAAGTTCAAATTTTCCTACTCCAGTATCTGCTGCTAGTGCGTCACACATTTCAGCTCCTCAGGTGCTTCCAGATGCCCTGCTCCTACTGCTTGACAGGTGCTGCACAACTTTTGATGTAAACCTCCTGCCTCTGCTTCTCAAATCGCCTTCGGTATTAAAAGGGTTTTTTCCCTCTCCACTGTCGCTACAAGCAAGCTTAGTGTGAGGGATTCCATTTAAGTCAATGAGTAGATGCAATCAACTGGTTTTCCTTAGATAGAAAACTTTGAATCAATTTGACTGTATGATCTGGTTGAACTGTAAAGTGCCTTGAGATGACATGTTGTGAATTGGCGCTATATAAATAAACTGAACTGAATTGAACATTGATCATATTCCTGTCGATCTCTTTAATTTTCATAAACAAGCCCTTTTGGCCTGATTG